CTGAAGCGTCAGCTTTCCTGCTCCTCTGATGCTGCTTGGCCTGCTGTGTTCATCCAGCTCTACACCTTGTTATCTAGGGTTTAAGATGTGTCTTGAAGGAGGAAGGAGAGATAAAATAGCAGAAATAATGAGGGAATCTCCCTGCAGATCCTGTGTCTACTCCTACATTTTGATGAAGTTCTGAATTTCCAACACCATCAAGCCCTCTACTGCCTGGCCTCTGACAGTTCTGCAAGTGCCAGGGACCTGGGCATTCTTCCTCAGTTAGCTGCAGAAACATAGCAGTGCTGTCCTCACCAGCACATGCTCCTGTCTCTAATCTAGCAATAATACCTACTGAAATGACAGCACAGGAGGGTGCAGGACGCTGTCTTGCAGGTTTATCCTCTGAGGGATCTGTGGCTTCTTCCTCAGAGGTGGAAGTGGAGTAATGTTGCAGGGCCTGCCTCTTGGCTGCTGAAAACATGCAGATCCACTTGTACCTGCATGAGACAAATGAGAATCTATCGTGAACAAGCAGTAGGCAATCAGGAATGTCACGAGCACATTCACAGTAATGGGAGAGCAGCACAGTGATAGGCAATGGTCCCTACTTGGTTACCGGGACATGGAGGTTTTGGCATCGCCACGGGAGCAGCCCCATCCTGACTCTCATGCCCCAACATGAGATATTTTCTCCTGGAATCAGACACCATGAGGGAATTGAGTAAGATGAAAGTGGCTGGCCCAGTTTTAGTGCTGGTGGAGGTTGGGGAAAGGAGGTGACTGAAAGAGTAGACAGCTCTAAGGCAAAATAGAATTTGTGATGTATGATGTTAGGACATGTGAAAATGACTGAAGGAAGATGTTAGAAGCAATAGTGAGAGTAGAGCACAAACCTTGGTGGGAAGTTGCTGCAGTAGCAAAGATAGAGTGAGTGTGAGGTATAGGAGAGAGGATGGTGACACTTACCCTTGTGGGGCAGAGAAAATTGCTGATCTCTTGCAATATTGCGAGACCTTCTCTCAGAATGTGGATACCACGCTGAACTCGGTGGCAACCTTGGATCAGGGTCTGGTGCCATAGTGTCTTCTGTGTCACCCAATCCATCACTTACTCCAGGTTCCTGTCTGCAAAGCAGAATGCCAGTTTCCCTTTGTCAGCCATGTCTGAGTCAAGTGACAGAAGCTGAGCAGAACACCTCTACACTGACAACAGTTGACCTGCTGCACAGCATTTTTTTTTATTCATTCATGAAATACGGGCATCGTTGGCTGGGCTAGCATTTATTGCCATCTCTGGTTGCCTTAGGGAAGGTGTTGATGAGCTGCATCTTGAACTGCTTCATCCGTTTGGTATAGGTATACCCATAATGTCATCAGGCAGGGAGATCCACACAGTGACAGTGAAGGAACGGTGGTATATTTCCAAGTCAGGATGGTGAGCGGCTTAGAGGGGGATTTACAAGTGGTGGTGTACGCCCACGCATCTGCTCCCCCTGTCATAAGAACAAAAGATATAGGACCAGAATTGAGCCACTTGGCCCGAAAATTTGGTCCGTTTTTCAGTCAAGGCCCAACCCCATTCTCCTGCCTTCTCCCCATAACCCTTGATCCCCTTATTAGTCAAGAACATACCTATCTCTAAAGACACTCAATGAAATGGCCTCCACAGCCTTCTGTGGCAATGAGTTCAACAGTTTCTCCACCCATGGCTGAAGAAATTCCTGCTCATCTCAGTTTTAAAGTGTCGTCCCTTCACTGAGGCTGTGTCCTCAGGTCCCAGTCTCTCCTGCTAGTGGAAACATCTTCTCCACATCCAGTCTCTCCTGGCCTCTCAGTATTCTGTAAGTTTTAATGAAACTCCATGGAGTACAGACCCAGAGTCCTCAACTGCTTCTGATATGACAAGCCTTTCATTTGTGGGATCATTCTTATGAACCCCTTCCGAGGCCAGCACATGTTCCTTAGAAACGGGCCCAAAAACTGCTCACAATATTCCAAATGTGGTCTTCAGCCATACATCCCTGCTCTTGTATTCCAACCCTCTTGAAATGAATGCTAACATTGCTTTTGATTTTCTAACAGTCAACTCAACCTGCATGTCATCCTCAGGAGAATCCTGAACTAGAACTCACAAGTCCCTTTGTACTAAAGATTTCTGAAGCCTTTTCCCATTCAGAAAAAAACTACACCTCTATTCTTCCTACCAACATACATAACCTCACACTTTGTCTTATTGTATTCCATCTGCTTCTTCTTTCCCCACTGTCCTAACCCGTTCAAGTTCTTCTGCAGCTTCCCCGCTTCCTCAACACTACCTGTCTCTCCCCCTGTCTTTGTGTCCTTCTAGATGGCAAGTTTGTAAGTTTGAAATATGGCATCAGTGCCAGAAATTCAGGCAATTGTGAATACCTCTGGCCATGACGAGTGCAAATATGTTGAGTGGGGCACCAAAGAAGCATGGTGCATAAGTAATGAGGTGTGTTTAGGAAGATAGTGTGCAAAATCTTGCTCCGTCTCATGGAGAGAAACCCTTGAGATCTCCCTACCTAAGAATGGATATACATGCCCCAGAGAGAGTGCAGTGAAGGTTGACTCAACTGATATCGGGATGGCATCACTGTAGTATGAAGTGAGGTAGTTTAACTGGGCCTGTATTCTCTCGTGTTTAGAAGGATGCGTGGGGATCTGATTGAAATGTAGAAAATTCTAACGGGTTTGGACAGACTAGATACAGAGGGGAGGTTTTGCCTGATTAGGGATTCTGGAACCTGGGGTCACAGTCTCAGGATAGGAGTAGACCATAGGACTGAGATGAGGAAAATTTTTTTTCACTCAAAGGGAAGTGAACCTACGGAATTCTCTACCACAGAAGACTGTGGAGGCCATGTCACTGAATATATTCAAAAAAGATTTTTTTATGATTTTGAAAGCATCTAGGAGTATGGTGTGAAAGTGGAAATATGACATTGAGATAGAGGATCAGCCATGATCATGTTAAATGGCAGAGAAGGCTTGAAGGATCGAATGGCCTACACCTGCTCCTAGTTTCTATGAACCTCACCAAAATTGATATTTAGCTGATTTCTGGTCAAATATAGCCCTTTAAATCATCGGGTGGACATAAATTGGAATATTGTGGACAATTCTAGGCGATCTTTTAGAAAAGGTTTAAAGGCCTTAGAACAATGCAGCAGAGTTTTTACTAGAATGTTACCAGGAAATGGGGATTAATGAAGAGAGGTTGGAAAGCTTACAATTGTTCTTGGAAAAGAGAAAGCTAAGAGGTGATCTCGGAGAGTTTTGTTTTCAAGATAAGGAGAGGTTTTGATAGAATTATTTTGCTATATTTGCTCTATTTTACAACTGGATCAATAACCAGAGGCCGTGACATCAAAAGCATTACCAAAACATCTCGACAGCTGAGGGGATCTCTTGTTTCACTTGAGTTGTCAGCCTCTGGAATGTTCTGCCTAAGTAGGTAGTAGAAGTTGATTTAACAAATACATTTGAACATATACTTAAGACAAGGCTTTTATGGGATTATGGCCAAAAAGCAGCTAAGTGATGAAGCACAACTACTCTTGCAAAGCCAGCAGAAACACAACAGGAAACTGGTCTGTTTCTGCATTAAAAGCTTTTATATCTCTGATATAAAGAAAAACACTTCAACTCAGTCACACATGAAATATGTGTTTCAACATAACACAGGTACAGGAACATCGTATCTCTGTACTGGCAAGTCACTTTTAAAGACATTTATGTTAGGAGTGGTAAAATCCAATAATGTTAATGAGATGCATCTTTAAAAAAATTAATGGTCATCAATTTTCCATTTTCAAGAATGTGTTCAAAAGATAGTTGATTTGTAAATCCAGGGGAAGTTCACAGCACAGTGCTCACAACAAGCCATTTATTTCATCCTAATACAAAAAAAATCTACCTACTAGTTGCTGAATTACAAAATATATTCCCCAAATTGGACAGTGGCCTAACTAGAATTACTGGTTGAAGGGGTTGAAAACAATGTTCAGCAATAATTATGTGTAACCTAGATTTTTTTTTTTTTCGATTTAATTAGGTGTGTCCCTGATAGTCAGCGATCATTTGCACTTGGTATTCAATGGATCTTGGTCCGTACTTTAGGTAAGGATTCTTCACTAGCCTTTAATGGTAAATCAAAATCAGCTTAAATCAAAATGTATTTCTGAGATTGTTTAACTGAAACACTAACAATATAAGTTTACTTGCATAATTCAAAGCCTTGAGATTATATTCTTTTGATTTTTCATTGTTATTTATAAACTTATTTAATATAGAACAAGTCTAAATAAGAGCATCTTAATAAATTTTAGTCTACAAATTTAACTGAACCTTAACTAATGTCTTGCTTATTTTACTTTTTGGATCAAGAACCTTGTTTCAGAAAATGTACTAATGATTAGTGTTTTGGAAATACAAAGCTAAATTGTGTATTTAATGGGGTACCATATATTCACCTGCATTAAAAACTTTTAGTTAGAGGATTCTGGGTAATCCGAGATGGAGGATGGGAAAAAATTGTGGCTGTAAGAGCTGCTACTTTTTTGAGGTATGTTCAGTGTAGGAGCTGATTTCCTCGAACTCTAGGCACAGTAATTATTGTTTTGTAAGCTGTTGCATTGTTTTTGAAACTTTGGGGAAAAAAGATCAAAACAACAGCACTTTAAAAAGGATGAAGCCAGACAAAAGCAGTGACCTTATGGGCAGTGAATCAAACGGAGAAATAAACTTGTACTGCTGTCTGACCCAACAGTGCATCTGTACAGCTGACTGTTCTGCTGCTTGATTTCAAGTATCTCTGGACAATGGAGTTCGTCTGAGGAAATATTAACAAACAATGAAATTCACAGCTGATGTTGGAGGAAACTCTGTGGGAGAGCCCACACCAGAGGGTGGTGTATATATGGAATGAGCTGCCAGAGGAAGTGGTGGAGGCTGGTACAATTACAGCATTTGAAAGGCATCTAGATTGATAAATGAATAGGAAGGTCTTGGAGGAATATAGGCCAAATGCTGGCAAATGGGACTAGATTTATTTGGGATATCTGGTCAACATGGACAAGTTTGACTGAAGGTTCTGTTTCCATGTTGTACATCTCTATGACTGTATAATTAGTAGCTTTTGGAGGGATTTGTTTCCAATCAATGTTAAAAATCTACATTTGAACCAAGTACAGTACAAGTAATGGCGTAGAGTAACTGGGTGGAATATATGTTTGACTTTGAATTTTGCTCAAGTTACATTATTAGAAGGATCTGTATTCTTATTCCGTTGTTTCTATTTTTCATTATTAAGCACAAGTTCACTTCAACGGTAATAATCAACTAGACAGGAATGTTAATTCTTCTGTGTTGATGTTAAAATGCCATAGTCAATAATATGATATCAAATTCTAACTATCTAATTAATTCTAACTTTCCATTATATAAATTTCAACAGGTGGAATTCCAGGCCCAATTGCCTTTGGCTCCGTCATCGACATTTCTTGTTTGTTATGGCAGGATCAGTGTGGTGATAGAGGCTCATGTTATATCTACCAAAACTCAGCCATGAGCATGTATCTCCTGATTGCTGGAATTACTTATAAGGTAATATGTGATCACATATAGTTAGAAAAAAATCACACATGTAATAGGATATATTAACATCCAACCCCTAACCCAATGTCTGTTTGGCAAGGAGATATTTAGTAAAAATATGGTTTAATAACTTTTTTTCTAAAACTCAGTGAGGTCAAAAAAGATGAAATTGTTTAATATTCCCCAACTTTTCAGACATAACTATGTATTTACTGCAGGTCAGACTTGGAGATAGTGACGCAGCAATTGTCTTGTGCTGATCGTGTTTTACACCATGAACATGAAAAAACAGAGTAGTACTGACTACTGAAATACTTCCTCAGAGGGCTGTCACAAGCATGTTGAGTGAAATGGCATTCTGCATTATTATATGATTATGCAGCCTCCAATAGGATATTTACAATAGGATTAGTATGGAATCTGAGTTTTACAACAATAAATTTTATTTTACATGCCAGTTGTATAGAGTGGAGGCTTCGGAGCAGCTCACTGGGTGACCTGAATCCAAACTCTAGTCAGTATTCATAAGTAGATGTGAATGATTTTAGAAAATAGATCAGTAACCAGTTCTCTGATTAAATAGAGTTATTATTGCCTCAGCAAAGTATAAACAAAGTTGATGCTGGCTTTAATGACAATTACTCTATTTTCTCTTTTCAGGCACTGGGAACCCTGTTCTTTCTGATAGCTTTGTGCCTCTACAAGCCGCCTAATTCTGCACTGAGTAGTTCAAATGTGGACAATGGAGAGTCAGAGCTACCAGCAAAAGATATGCCACAAATGATAGTAAACAAAGTAATTACTTTGTAGCAGTTACATTCCACTCAAACCACATCCGTATGTTCATTGAAAGTGGATGCTTGACAATTTGCATCATTGCACGTCACCCATCACTCATCTAAGCAACCGGAATTATAAAACAGCCTTAGAAATATCAAGATCGTACAGTTCCCTTCGTTGGTCAGTGATGTTGGCACTGTGAAAGCCTGTTACATTACAGACTTCCAATCAATTGCACACCTACAAAAGGTTTAAGTGTAGAATCAAAATTGACTACCAAGTGTCAATGAAATACATGGTTCAGCCACAAAGCATTCTATTTCTGTACAAGAATTCAACATAAAATTAGCCAATGAATGGACTGCTTTTAATTTAGGCTTCTAAACAAGCCTCAAGAAGATGAAAATTGCAACAAATTTCCACAGTATATGAACTTTTGAATTCAGAGAAGGAGTAGCCAACTCATCATTAACTTTTACAGCTATACTTAAGATATTTTGCTTTGTCTTTGTCAGATGTTAAAAACAGCTTATTATTCTATTTATTCCCAAATAATTACCTCTGGGAAAATACCATTTTTTTAGATAAAGGCCATAGTTTTTGTTCCTGAGTCAGGTGTGCAGAAGCATCTTGCTTCTGTGAATCTGACCTTTAGAAATGACATGCACACTCCTCATGTTTGGTCCAAGGGAGCAGGCTCGATTTGAAAGTCAGGTCAGGAAAGTCTCCTGAGGCTGTTAGTTTCCTAGAGGTTGCCATTTACCTATGGGCTCCAGCAGTATGTCCAAAAATTGAAAGAAGAAAAGCCTTCCAGCCTTCGCACGCACACACACATGCATGTCCCTCCATGCAATCCCAAGCCACCTAATGCCCAAAGTTTGATTAGAGGGCCATAGGTAATGAATAGACGGCATTAGGTGGTATGGGTGATGGTGAGTGTATGGGAGTGGGCAGGGTGAAGGCTAAGGACTGGAAGAATATTTTGTATTTCTCCCCTTTAAAAGAAATAAGGTACATTTTTGATCTCATCACACATATAGGGTGGAGTATGGTTACACGTTTGCAAAACTAAGGCAGAAGTTCTCAACCTTTTCAGTATCAAGGCACACTTCCATCTGAGAAACAATTCCACAGCGCACTTACTTTCTTTATACCGCATGTGCAGTAGCAAAACTCTACACATGTGCAGCTCTGGAAGTTTGAGCATGTGCTGTTGCTAGGGAACACATGGGGTCAACAGATACTGCCTTCAGTGATAGACACCAACATTCCAGTGGAGATCAGAAGCATGGGTATGGGCTGAGCACTCAGGTGAAGCAGCACTGCCTCCCAAAGTTTTCCGGCAAAATTCTCACTTTGTTGCAGCGCAGCGGTTGAAGTACTCTTTTGGGAAATTAAAAGAGCCCATTGGTGGAAGTGAGGCACCTCTGGAAATGTGAAAAGGCATGATGTATCTGAAAAATGTATAAACTCATTCAGATTAGCAAGTTGTTAAGAAACTGTCCAACAAAAATGTGTAGTTTAAAAATAATGGTGCTCGTTAGTTCAGAGAGCCTGTTTACATGAAACCAGGATTTGTGTTGCATGACTGATTTCTCAAATTATTATTTTTCATATTGGGGTGCATATTGATGGACAGCTCCAACTGCTTATTGGATGGAAATAGTTGTTGACATAAAGGATTAAGCACTCGTGTGAATGTATGTTTACGTAAGACATTGAACATTCAAATGAAATGTTTGTTTTTGTACTCGATTATTTGAAGCAATTTCAATGTAATTCTTTGCTATTGATGGGAGTGTGTTTTATTTCAATTGTGACGTTATCAGTAGACTGATAACTTTATTTCTTTCAGAATGCTTCCTGATTTATGCTTTTGTTGATTAATAGCTGAGTTAGCAAGGAGAAGAAATGGTAAAGGGTGATAGCACTGTATAAGCACAGGGTCTTTAAAGGGCTATGAAGGACTGTACGGGTGTTTGGGGGCATATGGAATATGAGTGGCCGCAGGAGATGGATATATTGGCATGAGGGTATCCGGGGCCATGGAGGATGTGTAGATATTTGCAAAGAGTAAATGTGGTGCCGTGAAGGCTGAGTAGATGGGAATAAGGTGCCATAGGGGATATGGGGGAACATGAGGATGGAACCCAGAACTTCCTCGACCTCTGTACACCCCATTCTAGAACAAAAGTAGGGGCCTTTGGGTTCTACAATACAGGGAAGCCAAAACACCACTTCAGTGGAGGTAGCGGGTGATTTAAATGGCATTTGCCCCAATAGAATGTCCAAGAGCCCCTAGCATAGTGGTAATGTTTCTGGGTTAGTAATCTAGAAGCCCAAATTAATATGTGGCTTTTAATCCCATCAAGGGAACTGGTGAAAATTTAATTAAAATGTATTTGCACAAGACCCAACATAATTCGATTGGGAGGTACAACTCATGATTTTAAACTATTTTCACCATGGCAGAGAGGGTGTCTGTCACGCTTAAAATTTCAGCCAAAGTTTTAACTGAATGTGAACTTGAGTCACAAACATACCTAATGTATTTGATGATAGTTGGCTTCTTATATTTACTGTTCAGATTGAGCAGTCATCTATCTATCAACGTAAATAGATTTTTCCCATCTAGACTACAGCATCAAGGTTGAAATGACTTTTTTTTTAAATCCCTACTTACTCGATCCTTATATCTGACTCCATTCATGGTGTAGCTTAATGCTGAGGACTCCAGTGAATCCACTAACCATGCTTGAAGCCTTTTTAAAGGATAGAATGATCCCTCCAGTTTTTCCAGGTTACTTTTTTATTTGCACTACGATTGTTACTGTAGAGACATAAACAAAGAGGATGGTCGCTAAACCATGAACTTACAAAAGTTGCAAATGCTCGAGAATTAGAAGCCCTGCTGGGAGATTTACTTATTTTTAGTATTTGACAGTGCTGCAAGCTGCTAGAATTCCATTTGATGTTTAAAAGAGAAACAAATCAAACATCTGAAAACAAATTCTAAAAAATACTTCCAGAAAAATGAGGTGAGAGCCTGTGTAGTATTATTAGGTGCAATTGTCTGTATATCTTCACACTGAGTACTTGATGGCCAGTGTTTCTGAAGGTGGTGAGAAGGTGGGTCACGGGGATTTGAGAGTAGCAAATATTTTGCACCACCTGTATAAGTAATTAAGAGATTGATATACTGGATTGATACCTGGCAGGAGGATGAAGAATGAGAGATAGTATGAAGAATACCCAGTTTCATATGAAACAATAGAGTTTTGTAAAACTGTCATTGCTCTCTGAATGATATTGATTATTTGCACTAAGATCTACTGAACAGGGACATATTATATGAAAGAAAAAGTTAACGTGTTTTTGCTTACAAGTACAGCGAAGTATTCAATATCAATGCACTATTTATTGTTACTTGTCATAAAATATAGCAAAGATCACCTTTATCATATATTTATCACCTTGTAATGATGCCAAGATAAAGAAAACTTCATTTGAAATGTAGAGCTATTTAAAATAAATGTGATATCCCTGCTATAACAACAGGTAATGTTCATGTTTGCACAGCTGTATCCCATGGCATAACTTCAGCCTTATTGCACTTACAATGAGGAAATGAAATTTGGGTAATTTTGGCTCAAGGTGCGATTTACCATATATAACTCCATCAAATCAATTTGTAGTTGTGATCAAAGTTACCTAATTTTTTTTTCTGTACATAACAGACTTTATGTGATTGTAGTTTTATGTAATTTTTGGCTTGTTGTTCATTTAAAAGGCACCAATCTATCACTGCAGTGGTTCAAATTTACTGTAATTTTGAACAATTAATGATGATGTCAATTTTAATGTCACAATGTTCAATATTCAATACCATATTGAATTTTCAAAACAAAATCTGAATTGAGATTGATTAGCTGTTCCACTTTCTTGAATTATTATAGATGCCATATTACAGTCAAAACCTCTGAAGCTGTCTCTTGGTAGTCTAATTATCTCTAGATTGACTCATGTAAACCATTCAGATACTTATCTATAGATCATGAAACGCTATTTTAGGAAATTCTCCCAGCCATCTTCAGATTTGTCCTCTCAAAACTGTTCTGGCAAGGGGTCACTGTCAGAACATTTACTCTGTTTTCTGTCTGCAGATGCTGCAAGACCTGCCATGTTTCTGCAGCACTTTTGAGTTTTTGTTTCAAATTTCCAGCACCCACAGTTCTTTATATTTATTTTAATATAATTATAGAGTCTGGTTCCCAGCCTCTAACCCCATGAAAAAGTAATTTGATGTCCTGTGGAGGAGCTGTGTCTTATTATTTGAATTTGTAAATTAATTTTTCTACTCTTATTTCTATTCAAAAGTTTGTCCAGTTATCTAATAATTCAAGTATTTTAATGGATTCCTCACTTTGCTCCATTCAAATTGTTGAATATTTCAAAAGTAACTTGAACCTAGTATGCATAAGTTATGAAGTGTGATGTCAGCTAGTGTTAAAAATGCTTAGGGTTCCTGGCCCTCTGGATATTTATAAACTTCAGTAGGACTCCTTAACATATTTTAAAAAAAATCATAGGCTCCTTAACACATAAGCAAAACACTTAAAAATTAACAGCCAATAATCTGGACATGCACATTGTAATTTAGTCCAATTCAAAGGCTATAAGAATAAATTAAGCACTGTCATCTGCAATGTTTGTCTTTATTATTCATTTAGGGGATGTGGGTGTTGCTGCTTTAATTGTTCATCCCTAATTGCACTTGAGAAGGTGATGGTGAGCTGCCTTCTTGATCCCCTTCAGTCCATTTTGGTGTAAGTACACCTGCAGTGCTTTCAGGATTTTGATCCAGCAATGTTGAAGGAACAGCAATATACTTCCAAGTCAGCACAGAGAGAAACTTGAAGGCAATGATTTTTCCAGGTTTCTGCTGCCCTTGTCCGTCTAGATATTAGTGCTTGTGGATTTGAAAGGTGCATTCTGAGGAGCCTTGGCAAATTTCAGTAGTACATCTTGTAGATGGTATACAGTTAGGCTACTGAGATTGTTGGAGGGAGCGGATGTTTGTATTTGTGGTCGTGGTGCCAGTCAACTGAGCTGCATTATCCTGGATGATGTCAAGCTTCTTGTGTGTTTTTGGACTGCACTCATCCAGGCAAGTGGGGACGATTCCATCACACTCCTGATTTGTTCATTGTAGATGGTGAGCAGGCTTCGGGAGTCAGGGGGTGAGTTACGTTCCGCAAGATGCCTAGCCTCTCACCTCTTGTAGTGACTTTATTTATGTGGCTAACAATAACCTCCAGAATATTGATTGCTGGGCCTTCAATAATGGTAACGTCATTGAGTGTCATGGGAAATGGTTAGTTTTTCTCTCCTCTCTCTCAGTTGTCCCATTTCTAAGCATCTTGAAGTTAACTTCACTGTGGCTAGTCCTCCCAGCTAAATGCTTGAAAGAAAAGCACAACTTTTTTTTTTCAATTTATGGAATCCAACCACCCTCTAAAGGAGATTTGTCCATATTTTAGTTTTTGAAGAATGGACAGTACAGTATCAATATAAGCTGCAAACCTTTTATACATATCAAGCAGAGCTTGAAACATAACCAAGAAATTTATTTTCACACTAACAAATATATCATATATCATCACTGAGCCTCAATTTTAAACTTGTGTATTTAGCTTCTCAAAAATAATGGTTAATTTAACTGCTAATATTATGATTTATTGGATAGAATTACAACAAGTATGAACAAAATAAAGTATAAAAATAACACGAAATATAAAATACCAATTATGACTAATTCCAATTTTCCGACTGGCATTTTATTTTGGTACTAGATATATTTACATTCTTATCTATGTAGTCAGGGAATATCGTGTATATTTCTGCAAGGAAATCACCTGTCTTCATAAGGGGGTGTCTCTAACCAGTTTTCAGAACAGTGTTGGAAAATTAATTGGCTATCTTCCACTGAATTGAGTAGGACTTATAAAACCTTTAAAATTTATTCTACACCTATTAAGAATCTACAAATAGGGCTGAATTTAATGAGATCAGTGTTCCCACTAAATGCTCGACTAATGGCAAAGATACAACATAAATAAGGATAAAAATTGGATATAACTGAATTTGAACATAATTCTGTTGGCATGAAGTGACAATGTAGCTGCTGAGAGAGGCACACACAATATTTCAGATCGATCCTCTGACCTCACTGTCATTATTTTAGTGATCTATAGGTTTTAGTTTTCAGGAGCAACTTGCAGTTTGGTAGTCAGCACCTAATCAGTTTCATCCAGCAGCACTTACCACCATGTAAATTCAGCAAGCCATTTGGGTTCCTGTCATTGTTAATGCACGCAGAGACCTTAACTTTAATATTAAAGTTAAATCTCCACACTTGGGTGTCTGCCAAGGCCACCTAAAAAGAGGACCCAATCCAGCATGCACATTGGCTCCTGACCCCTCTACTTTGCTGAATTGATTGTCACTGTCACTGTACTTGTCTGAAAATACAAAATGGAAGGGAAATATTCAATTTGTCCTCCTTCGTGTAGTGCTGTTGGATTATTAACTGCTGCAAGATATTAAAATTCCTGATGCCTTGGGAGGTGTACAAAAAATGTCAATAGACTTTCAGCAATACTTTACAAATGTTGATTGTCTTCATCATGATCCAAAATCTGAAGTATCTTTGGTTACATGCAGTCACATAACATAAAACGCACAGATATTTTGTATAAATATTGAAAGTTATAATGCATGAGGGAGTCTCGTGTTTTAAAAAGTGTAATGATATGCTCAGATAAATTAAAGAAGAAAATATTTATTGATTTAGTTTCAAAATTGAAGCAGTATTTATCAGAACCTTGTGCTGTGTTTCATGTAGTAAAATCTTTTTCTCTCCCACTTTAATTAGCCTTTGACCAGTGGTTTCTGATTATAAGCTATTGATATTGCCCTGCTGACATCAATTACTGACAACCATAGCCATAAACTGTTGTCAGTCAACAGGCTGCAGTAAAACTACTCATTTCTAATGCTGCAGTCAGCTTGACAGAGTTGAAGGCTAATGGCCTACAAAGTGAACAATGTAATGCTGGACTAGCTTTTTTGTGATTTGTTATATTGCTCACTACTGTTACTTTTTCCCTGATGTTATCAGTAAATTGGCTTCATGAAGACATGCCTACTGTACAATAAATAGGGTCACTATGTAAATTGCTCATTCAGAAAACTGGTGCAGATAAGATGGGCCAAATAGCCTTCTCCTGAACTATAACAATTCTACAATTCTGCGAAATGATCTATAACATGCTAGAAATGGGAAAGTGAAGACCATTGAACTATAAAGCTACATCCATTATTCTTTCAGTTTTACAGCACATTTGTTTGGTCTAAACTATGATAGTAGCACAACATATTATAAAAATACAGTGCAAAACAGACTCTAAATGGACTAAAGATTTCTTTCCAAAAATATTAAGTGGATGTTCTCTGGCACTTTTAAAAATGTTTTTTATTCTAAATGTATGGCAAAGATTACTAAAGACAAATAAAAATTAACTTTTTCAGAAAGGATAGTCTGTTACTTTCTAAACCTTTTGGACAAATGAATTGTATTTTCTTTTTAAAGGATCTAAGATTTAAATTCATTCTGTGTGATGAGCTGAAATGGCTTGTGCAAGCATGTGTTTGTATATGAAAAAATAAATTTAGATATAAAGTAGAATATTGATTTAATTTTGCAGCTCTACATATGTGCAGTTTAGCTATTTATCACATTGCATAAATCATACCAGTGAGTTGAGGGTCAAGAATGTGTCCTGCTGAATTAACATGCACACTAAAGTAAGTGCAATCTATTGTAACTCATTGAACCATTAGCTAATTGTTGTAAATTAATTTACTTAGTTGTATTTAAATGCATTGGTAATTAAAACTAAATGATGGTAGTGGAGTGATGGCATTTGTATCAATTGCACTTTTTCAGTTGTATTTTCATTCTTTGAAGTTACTGATTCATTGGCTTAGATTTCACCACCATCCGTGCCAAAGTAACAACAGTCAACATAAGATATTTATTCACAAAATCTAATGAGCTCTGTGGTGTGGATTTCCCCTTTCCCACCGTCAGTTTAAATTTGGCTCCAGGTCAAAGAGATCTTGGAACATTAATATCATGAAGCAGGGTAACCAAATAATCATATTGAAGTATTCCCACAAGCAAGCAACAACAACTGTTTTTTTTTCAATTTAATGTTTAAATGATTGTGATACACATTTGAGATTAATTTGGAAGCTAAAATACGCTAAAACTACATCAAATGATGAAAGTATGTGTATATTTTTAATCATAATTTTAATCAAGCAGATAGAGCATAATGTGGGAAAATGTTTTGTTGCCCTCCTTGGCAGTGTATTATTTAAATGGAGAGAAATTGCTGAACTTGGTGGTACAAATACATCTGGGTGTCCTGGTGTATGAATCATAAATGGTATGCAGTTTCAGAAAATGACTAGGAAGATAAATGGAATGTTGAGTTTTAATGTTGGAGATTGGAATTTAAAAGTAAGCAATTTTTACTGCAGCTGTATAGGCTTGTCATGAAACCCAAAATGGAGTGCCATGTACAGTTTTGCTCTCCTTATTTGAAAAAAAAAGTTAAAATTGTATTGGAAACAGTTCTGTAAAGGACCACTTGACTCACTCCTGAGATGAAGTGTCCCTGACAAAAGATTGAACAGGTGTATTTGTATCCACTGGAGTTTAGAAGACTAAGGGGTAATCTTGTTGATTTAAGGTATATAAGGTATTGAAAGAACTTTATAGAGTGGATGCTGGGAAAACGTGTTTGCTGTTGCAGGGAAGACTAGAATTAGGGATCACCATTTAAGAATAAGAGGTCTTCTTTTAAAGACTGAGGTGAGGTTTTGTTTTCTCTCAAAGGGTTATTAGTCAGAACACTTTCTGAAAAGCAATGGAGGCTGGGTTATTGAAAGCAGAGTTAAGTAGATTCTCAATGAGCAAAAAAGACTAGGGTTATGGGGATCACTTTCTGTGAAATTGAGATCACTACCAGTTCAGCCATGGTCTTATTAAATGGCAAGCAGTTTTGAAGAGCCGAATGGCCTACTACTACTCCTAAGTTCAATGTTCCTCAAGTATTTATTCCATAGATATAGCATTATTCTTTTCAAAGCCATTGAGGCTGTTTAGTAGTGTTTATGGTCTTAGTACACTGCTAGAATTCCAGTTACATCTTCTTCAACAGGGTATAACATTTTCAAGGATCTTTACAGCAGGATTATTAGTTTAAAAGTGGGACTTCTTATCGGTTCACTAATTTCTACTTGCTTGCAGTCTGGGGGAGTCTTCAACAACATACTTCTACGGTGAAGTGGAGACTCACTGACTGCAATTTCTGGTTGTTCATCTGCAGACTCCAGAAATTACAGTCAGTGCAGAGGAACCGTGATAATAAAAATAGTGATGGTTTTGCCAATGTTATAGCAGCATTGAGGCCATAGAGTGCCCTTAGTAAAAGTGAGCATTGATGAAATAAAAAAACTGCATTGCATTTATAGATATTTGTTATGAGTTAGTCATCCATAAATGTATCTTCTTCCATTTTGTTAAATGGATTATCATGATACTTCTTTTAAACGTCTGCAAAGCAAAAGTCAGATTTGCACATTGTCAATAAACAATAGGTAACCAAGATGATAAATATTTTATAAAACTTTTGTAACCCATATATATACTATATCGAAAGCTCTGGAAGAGTTGCTTATAAAACTTTTAAAAAGATATATAATTAGAGCATTTTCAGGGAATATGGAAAACTGAGTTTCAATCTATAAAGTAGATTTGGAAACAACTAACATTTACAGTATAGTTAGCATTTAAAATTTCTGAAGATACCACAACAGAAAGTAATGCTTAAGATATTTCAAATCTTCGGGATAACTTGGATTTTGATTTTAATTTAGGAGATTGATTTTAATCAAATTAATTAGGTGAACTAAAACATTGACTGTAGGGTTAAGTGGCTATTCACCTAACTGTAGATAACATTTAGTTTAGATAACGTCCTAATACATGACAATACCTTCAATATATTCATTTCCTCCCTCTCTCTTGCTTTGCTGCCTTGGATACGGTAGAAGTACATAGCTTCTCACCACGTTGGTGTTTATAATCACATCGCAATTGTGTAATGGATAGAGAACAACCAATTGAAAAGCCTGAGTTGTTCATACAGCACAAAGTAAACCCAAGTGCCACATGTACACTGCTAGTTCATTCTTGGTTATCAATTATTATGCTATAGCCAAGAAAACCGCAGCACAACTGCTGACTTCTCAGCAAGCTGTGCTGATACAACAGCACAATTTTCAATATTATTGGTGTAAAGTAAAAGGAATGTTTCCACATCCTGATGTGTGAACATCCAGACTAGCTTACTATTGTCAGAGAAGTGTTTTATAACCTATTACAGAGTTCTGTAAGTATTTTTCATGATGCTACCAGTAAAGTTTTGGTAATATATTGGAACAAAAAAATTGCCCATTTGCTCTGCACTCAGATTATGTGCTCACCTGTCATAAAGTGTTTCTATTTAAAATGATTTTGTTTATAATTATGCTTTTATACAAATGGAAGTTGGCTTGCCTAAAATGAGAAGTGGACTTTAAGCTTTAAATGGAAGTGTTTGTAGTGGAATAGGTAGATATGCAAATATACTGCTATTGCCAATGTAATATAATGTTCACATTCTTTGTATTTAATATATTTAAGTAAAAGAAGTTGGATATCAAATTTTAATGGTGTGTATAGTTCATGACCTTAACTGCTCGTACTCATATTACGTTGTTCAATATTTTTGTCCCTTCCTTTCTGAAAAGTGGCACTCCACACATTTCTGTAGCCCTGGGGGATTATGTTCTGGTATACAACATAGAACATAGAACATTGCAGCGCAGTACAGGCCCTTCGGCCCTCAATGTTGCGCCGACCTGTGAAACCAATCTGAAGCCCATCTAACCTAAACTATTCCATTATCATCCACATGTTTATCCAATGACCATTTAAATGCCCTTAAAGTTGGCGAGTCTACTATTTTTGCAGGCAGGGCATTCCACGCCCTTACTACTCTCTGACATCTGTCCTATATCTATCACCCCTCAATTTAAAGCTATGTCCCCTCATGCTAGCCATCACCATCCGAGGGAAAAGGCTCCCACTGTCCACCCGATCTAATCCTCTGATCATCTTGTATGTCTCTATCAAGTCACCTCTTAACCTTCTTCTCTCTAACGAAAACAGCCTCAAGACCCTCAGCCTTTCCTCATAAGACCTTCCCTCCATACCAGGCAACATCCTGGTAAATCTCCTCTGCACCCTTTCCAATGCTTCCACATCCTTCCTATAATGCAGTGACCAGAACTGTACGCAATACTCCAAGTGCGGCCGCACCAGAGTTTTGTACAGCTGCAACATGACCTCATGGCTCCGAAACTCAATCCCTCTACCAATAAAACCTAACATACTGTACGCCTTCTTAACGATGCTATCAACCTGGGTGGCAACTTTCAGTGATCTATGCACATGGACACCAAGATCTTTCTGCTCATCCACACTACCAAGAATCTTACCATTAGCCCAGTACTCTGTATTCCTGTTACTCCTTCCAAAGTGAATCACCTCACACTTTTCCGCATTAAACTCCATTTGCCACCTCTCAGCCCAGCTCTGCAGCTTACCTATGTCCCTCTGTAACCTGCAACATCCTTCCGCACTATCCACAACTCCTCCAACTTTGGTGTCATCCGCAAATTTACTAACCCATCCTTCTACGCCCTCATCCAGGTCATTTATAAAAATGACAAACAGCAGTGGCCCCAAAACAGATCCTTGAGGTACACCACTAGTAACTGAATTCCAGGATGAACATTTCCCATCAACCACCACCCTCTGTCTTCTTACAGCTAGCCAATTTCTGATCCAAACTGCTAAATCACCCTCAATCCCATGCCTCCGTATTTTCTGCAATAGCCTACCATGGGGAACCTTATCAAACGCTTTACTGAAATCCAAATACACCACATCAACCGCTTTACCCTCATCCACCCGCTTGGTCACCTTCTCAAAGAACTTAATAAGGTTTGTGAGGCACGACCTACCCTTCACAAAACCGTGTTGACTATCCCTAATCAAATTATTCTTTTCTAGATGATTATAAATCCTATCTCTTATAATCCTTTCCAACACTTTACCCACAACCGAAGTAAGGCTCACTGGTCTATAATTACCAGGGTTGTCTCTACTCCCCTTCTTGAACAAGGGGACAACATTTGCTAGTCTCCAGTCTTCTGGCACTATTCCTGAAGACAATGACGACATAAAGATCAAAGCCAAAGGCTCTGCAATCTCCTCTCTAGCTTCCCAGAGAATCCTAGGATAAATCCTATCCGGCCCAGGGGACTTATCTATTTTCACACCTACCAGAATTGCTAACACCTCCTCCTTATGAACCTCAATCCCGTCTAGTCTAATAGACTGTATCTCAGTATTCTCCTCGACTACATTGTCTTTTTCCTGTGTGAATACTGACAAAAAATATTCATTTAGCACCTCTCCTATCTCTTCGGACTCCACGCACAACTTCCCACTACTGTCCTTGACCGGCCCCAATCTTATTCCAGTCATTCTTTTATTCCTGACATACCTATAGAAAGCTTTAGGGTTTTCCTTGATCCTACCTGCTAAAGACTTTTCTCATGTCCCCTCCTGGCTCTTCTTAGCTCTCTCTTTAGGTCCTTCCTGGCTAACTTGTAACTCTCAAGCTCCCTAACTGGGCCTTCATGCCTCATCTCTACATAAGCCTCCTTCTTCCTCTTGACAAGAGATTCAACTTCTTTAGTAAACCACGGTTCCCTTGCTCGACCACTTCCTCCCTGCCTGACAGGTACATACTTCTCAAGGACACGCAGTAGCTGTTCCTTGAACAAGCTCCACATTTCAATTGTGCCCAGTCCCTGCGGTTTCCTTCTCCATCCTATGCATCCTAAATCTTGCCTCATCGCCTCATAATTGCCTTTCCCCCAGCTATAACTCTTGCCCTGCGGTATATACCGATCCCTTTCCATCGCTAAAGTAAACGTAACCGAATTGTGGTCACTATCACCAAAGTGCTCACCTACCTCCAAATCTAACACCTGGCCTGGTTCATTACCCAGTACCAAATCCAATGTGGCCTCACCTCTTGTTGGCCTATCTACATACTGTGTCAGGAAACCCTCCTGCACACATTGGACAAAAACTGACCCATCTGAAGTATGGTTCAACTTGTGGGTATCTTGCAGCATTCAAATACAGGTACAACCTACTTGTTCAGTTTCTGTCAGCTTGTTCTTTACTCAGCTCAGGTGTGCTGGTTGACAAGTTAAAATCCAGAAATCCAATTAAAATGTTGTGAAAACATGAGTTTCCAGAAGTCTGTGACAGCAGATTCCTATCATTATCACTGGGCTGTCTCGTATTATGATTGCATTGGTGTAGCAGCTTTTCCAACCTATTTTAAGTTGATTTCTTCTTGTTTTACCCAGGAGGCATTTTGGTTTTAAATTGACATGATTATAACTAATTATGTTTTGATTGTGCCACCTTTACATTAACATTTTCACTGTCCATCCAGCTTTGGAATTCATCCCATTACAACTAGACCTTTGACAAGGTTTCCCAATTTGTTATGGTTCCAGTCAGGATATCCACAAATCACAAATTGTCACCTTGGTTGGTCACAGCAAGATAGTTTAAAGTAAGAAATCCCCTCCATCATGGATACATTTCTCCCAGACCAAATGCATTTTTTTTTAGAAGGAACTAATTTAACCAAGCTTGAGTTAACAAAAGAGATTAGAAATTTAACAAATAGATCAGTCTCTGAATGTTTCTTGAAGACTGAACAGTAGAATGTTTGCTGCTGTTACAGAGATTGTTCTCAGTAACATTATGCAACTACCAATGTCAGTCATTTGAGATTCTTGACTTTGTAGCTTGATTGAAATTCTTCGATCCTGGTTCTTCTAGCCAGCAACACTTGGAGTTGGAGGGTTTTTTCCACTTTCTTTACTTGCAATACAGCGGTGTTACATAGCGAATAAAAACCAAAAAAAAAACTGCAGATGCTGTAAATCAGAAACAAAAACAGAATTTGCTGGAAAAGCTCAGCAGATATGGCAGCATCTGTGAAGTGAAAATCAGTTAGCGTCCAGTGACCCTTCATCGATTGTTGTTGGTTCTCAAAGTTGTACCTCACCCAGCACACTAAGATGTCAGCCACTGACACAGTTCATGGTTGAAGCTTGTTATTAAACCCTTTTTACCATATCTCTGGAAAGTAATACAAAGATGTGCCTTCAAGAAACAGTCTCCTGCTGAGAGAAGTTTGGACAGTCAACATTTAAAAGACATCTTGATGAGTACATGAATAGGAAGGGTTTAGAGGGATATGGACCAAATGCTGGCAAATAGGACTAGATTAATTCAGAAGGTCTGATTGACATGGACAAGTTGGACCGAAGGGTCTGTTTCTATGCTGTAAAACTCTATAACTCTGTAACCTCTCCTGGGTAGTTTCTGTGTTTGAAGTTTCCCTAAGTCTGACATTTTATAGGTCCACTTTGTGGGACACACGTGGCAGACAGCTAACCCAACTTCAGGTCATGAATCCATTCCATATTCCAGTTATTTAGTGGCTGTTACCTCAGTTATGTCTTTCTTGCCTTGTAAAGGAGAAAAATTGTGTTGGGGTTTGGTATGCAGAATTAATTTTGAGTGATGTGGTTATCACAGTTAAATAGCTTGCCTATGGGCAAGCTGTGAGATGTCAGTTTGAGCCTTAGAGTATTATGAAATATGAGAGGGTGATTGAGATGAAGTTATGAATGTGAGGTGTGAGTCACATTTGATAGAATTGTTGCTGAATGAAAGTTGTGCTTACCTGTCATTTCTCATCACCACCCAGCATGACAACGCACTTTGCAGCAAATTCATTATTTTTAAAATAGCTACTATTATAATGGTAGAAGAACAGCAAAGTGCTATGGCCAAATAATCAGTTTTTCTGATGTCATTTCAAGCGTAATAATTAGTCAGTGCATTGCCCAGCAGATTAGGCCTCAATTTAAGATCTCATCTAAAATATGGCAATTCCGACAATGCAGCTTTCCCCTACAACAACACTGGAGGTGCACTTTGAAGGATGAAGGACTTGTGGCATTGCATTCAGGTCTCCAAGGCTATAATACTTGTATTGAATGTGACATGATATCTAGTACCACATAAATCTTTTCCTGTCAGGTTTAACAACATCCTTCCTAAAAGAAGGGTAACCAGAACAGTACACAGTATTCTAAATGTAGCCCCACCAATGCCCTGTGCAGCTGAAAAATGACATCCCAACTCCTGTTCTCAATGTTCTGACCAATGAAGGCAAGCGTGCCAAATGCCTTCTTTACCACCCTGTCTACTGGCAACTCCAATTTCAAGGAGCTATATACCAGCACCTTTAGGTTTCTTTGTTTGGCAACGCTGCCCAGGGCCCTGCCATTAACTGTGTAAAGTCCTGCCCTGGTTTGGCTCACCAAAATGCAACACCCTGAATTTATCTAAATTAAACTCCATCTGCCAGTCCTTCACTCATTGGCCCATCTGATCAAGGACCTGTTGTACTCTGAGATAATCTTCTTCACCATCCA